AGAGAGAGAGAGAGAGAGAGAGAGAGAGAGAGAGAAGGAGAGGGAGAGAGAGAGAGGGAGGAGAGAGAGAGAGAGAGAGAGAGAGAGCGATCTTGCTGTGATTCACGTTAGTCTGCAAAACTCGCCGCCTATAAGATTTTGAAGACAAATAAAGCAATAAACTACTGGAAGGCACGTCGGGGATATCAGAGTCAGCAGCATTATATCAAGGGGTTTTGTTGTGAAGACCAGTCGCCTGTGCCGCTTTATGTACTACAGTATACGATTGCTAAACCGATGGTTACATGTATGACCCCTGTATACCCAGTTAACGATCCCTAATAAGGTATGCGTGTCATTTGGGTCTAAGCACAATTTAACTTAAGGAACTCGATGACTTTCAGAGCGTATATCTTGGTAATCATCAGGTCCCCTGCAGGTATTGATTACTATTCAAACAGAACGATCTTCCTGTTCAACGATAGTCAGGTATTCTGCGTAGGCTGACAGATGATTGAGACGCCTTCACATAGATATCTGAATTAAGTTGTCATCGAGATATTTGTGCGTGGAAGTTGACCTTATAAATGTGACCTGTAGCGGTTGCCCAATCTGATTAGTGCATCCACATCCACTGTCTCCCTCGTGCTTTGTTTTGTTCCACATCCCACAACGTGCATCACCAGAAAAGACGTGAGTATTTGTAACGCTTATCCTTTGCTGAATTACTCCTCTAATCAATTTCCCACCGGCACCTACTACCCCCATTCCATTTCGTCTGTCTCACAATCACGCGTCAAAATCGTGACATGAATACGACAATATGTCAACTCCCGTGCCATGACCTTTTGAACGACACCAGGTGCTTTCACTTTGTTTCATGTCCCATTCATTGCAACGATCTATATAAAGGACAGAACACAATCAAGCACACATACACGCATCACTCGCGCGTCGGAACACAGACTGGCTCAAGCACCGAAAACTGCGGACAACTAGGATCGTGTAGCAGGGAATCTGCCAGAAGAAACATGACTACCTGCACTCAAACGAACTCGGTTGAACTATTACAATTCACAGTCAGAACGATAAGTCTTTCGTTTGAACCTTCCTATTTTTGGTATTGTATTATATGTCATTAAGGTGCATCTAGTTGTTGTAACCTCACGCCCTCAAAACAGGCTTTATTAGTGTCCCTTTCTCGCCTTCTGATTTACCAAGTGGTTTTTGTTGTTAACAAAAGAGATCATTAATATACCCTTTCATGTTGTGTTAGCTGGTCATACAGGTTCAGTCACGCACTGTATTTATGGTGCCAGCATTTAATAATATTTTATGCGGATCTGCACATAGTGGCTGCAAACGTAAAGACAGTGCTGATGAGCATAACCAACAGAAAGCCGGACCTGACACGTAACTAGATTGAACGGTCCTGCTGACATCGTACCAACAGTCCCTTATGAGGTGTTGTTTTTGCTGGTGAAGTTTTTGTACAGTCGATCCGATGTCACTAGCACTACGGGCACGCACCTGACGCATACACCGAAATACTGGTAAGCACACCGAAGTGGGTCTCAAAATCTCAGAACAATTCGAAGAGAAATTTGGCAACGGGTCATGCTTTCCAACTTTAGAGAAGATCTGAAGCCATATCGAGTCGGAAACCTCAAATGCTTGATTTAGGTCCATACAACATAGGTTACCGTCGCCGAGTTACATTCGCACATGCTATTACAGGTCACCAACCTGACATGGTGACTCGGATATCCAACAGCCCTCACTGGCACCATTTCGCAGATTTACAGTAGGTAAGTGATTTAAATTCATGGCGGAAGATCTCATCAGGATCGGACCAAGTTATCTGCCTATCTGAAGCGTCCAATTAAGCAATATTAAATAATCAAAATAATTCTGCCTCGCGGTTCGGCATGCGCTTCACACATGCAAAGTGTAAAATGCTACTGCAAGACTGGGTGGACTCGAACCCTAGCCTCGTGCTTGCGGATGAACCGATTGAGGTAGTAGGCAAATTTGTTTACCTGGGCAGCTGTATCAGTCCCGGTGGTCTCACGAAAGATGAAATTTCCATCCGGATTGGTAAGGCCAGAGCAGCTTTTGCGAACCTACGTCACCTGGGGCGTAGGCGTGACATCAGCCTCTCTGTCAAGGGTCGAGTTTATAATGCTGCGGTGCGCTCCATATTACTATATGGATCAGAAACCTGGCCGCTGCGCGCCGAGGACGTCAAAAGACTTTCAGTGTTTGACCATCGATGTCTTCGGAGCATTGCCCGAATCTGGTGGGAACACCGGATCAGCAATTTTGAAGTACGTCTAATGGTATTCGGGAGAAATAACTCACCCTCGATAGATGAACTGATCACACTGCACAGGTTGCGTTGGCTTGGCCACGTGCTGCGTATGCCAGTCGACCGACTTCCTCGAAGGGCTCTTTTCGCCCAACCATGTGAAGGTTGCAAGAGAGCCAGAGGCGGTCAAATAATGACTTGGCAGCGAAGTATGTAGGCCATTACCAGCAAACAGCTGCGCTGGTCATTGCCGTCTTCCTAGATGGGGACCCCGAGACGAGCCACATCAATGGCTAAAGACATTGTGAGACATGGCCCAGTCACGTCCTCAATGGCGCTCGTGCATCCAAGCTGTCGCCATCAATGCATATATCCCTTCCCAATCCCCCAATCGACAGTCCACTGACAATGCAGTGTTCACGCACCAATTTATCAGCCCCCGCCTTCAATGCGCAGCTATCTACTCCATCTCCCCAAATCATCGGTAAACTAAATTAAGGCAGCTACAAGCACTGTACCACAAGTGCGCGGTTATTACAACTGACAATGATGATTATGGTGATCCTCTGTCTAGGCTTAGGTGACCCGGCAGTACCGCAGCTCTTGTGCTTCCTTTTGGTGACATGGCAGCTAGGCACCGAAAGGGTGCTACGGCTGAATTGACTCAGTTGGCTGCAGGCCTGGCCCGAAAACGTAGGCAGTAAGGCATTAGTGTCTCACTCCTAGTGCACCTGCGAACAGAAGCAACGGACAGCAGCGGAGTATCAGTGTTAAACACTGACATCATCCTGTCGATGATGAGCATCGGACTCTGCCTTCATAAGTATTTCGACCGCTCCCCCCAAATCATCGGTGAACGAAACTGCGGCATCTACAACCACTGTACGACGAGTACGCGGTTATTACAGCTGACAATGATGATGATTATAATAATGATGAGGAAGCGTCCAATTTCAGAAGTCTCCAAGTTTTATTGTCATGAACAGCTTTAAAACTATCGATCGCCGTTTTCTTATCCCCATTGACTTTATTCCAATTAAATTGCGTTAATGTAATAAAAATAACTGTGGTAATAATAGATGCACATTAATGTATTACGCACGGCTATAGGCTTTGAAATGGTTGTAGTGGTCGGGTTTCCCGTTGGAACTCTGTCAGACAAAGCAAAAATACGAAGATGAATCGGACTGCAACGATGTTTGGCGACGGGGGTAAATTAGCTGCTGGGACAGTCTGCTTCACAGTATGTGCTTTCGAACTTTGAGGAAAAACGGGCTAATGAGTTTCGCCTCTTAGATCTCACGGTTCAGCGGTCCGGTGGTTGAACGTATCTACTGATGCGTTGCATAACACGAGCGGAATTCTTTCC